AGCCCTGTAGAAATGGCAGCACTTTCACAGAGCAGTTGCTCGTTTCAATGAAGCTTCCACAGGAAAGCTTTCTGTTGGTATATCGTTCCCCAGCATGCCAGTTAGTGGAAGCAAAAGTGCCATCTAGATTTTCTGTATCAGATACCAAAATGTCCCAGGCCAGTCGATGGAAGTAATCATAGTGGTATAATTACAGATACGAGACAAGTTAGGGTTTTTTTAATTTATTTTTTTATGCTGGAAGCCACCCAGAGTGGCCGGGACAGCCCAGTCAGATGGGTGGGGTGCAAATAATAAAATTATTATTTATTACAGTGGTACCTCGCAAGACGAATGCCTCGCAAGACGGAAAACTTGCTAGACGAAAGGGTTTTTGGTTTTTTGAGTTGCTTCGCAAGACGATTTTCCCTATGGGCTGGCTTGCTTCGCAAGACGGAAACGTCTTGCAAGTTTGTTTCCTTTTTCTTAACACCGTTAATACAGTTGCGACTTGACTTCGAGGAGCAACTCATAGCACGCGGTGTGGTAGCCTTTTTTGAGGTTTTTGAAGACTTTGGTGATTTTTGAAGCTTTTCCAAAACTTTTCCGAAACCATGCTTCGCAAGACGAAAAAATTGCAAGATGAAAAAACTCGCGGAACGAATTAATTTCGTCTTGCGAGGCACCACTGTATTATGATAGGTTTGCTCTGCAGCTAGTCGCCATAACTTTAAAAAAAAATAGTGAGAGTTTAGCCAGAAGCAGGAGAAGAGAAAATTATTCTGTTTTATCATACAGCACAGAAAGTTGATCCTGCAATCAAAGTGAAATTTTCAGACAATGGGAAACAGGCAAAAGGTGCAATAGTACATCTTAACAACATTACCCTTTTGTCTAATTATTTGGTTCATACAGAAGGCACTCTGCCTTTCTTCTTCTCACAAGCATTATGCTTTAATTATGACTTGCAAACATATATACCTGCCATGTGACATTTGAAGGCCATGCCTCACGGGCAGAGAATGTCCTTCAGCAACAACTGTCTGTTGCAGTGGCCCTTCAAATGAGTGAACTTTCCCTGCACTCACTGTCTACATTTCCCGGCACCTGCTCAAGGTCTCTTTGCAATCTGGCCCTGCAAAGAAACTCAGGTCGAGAGAGAACAGAACGAGTAACAGTATAACTCTGACCCTAGAACATGCCCATTTCCCAGCTACACGGAGCTCATTCGCAAGCCAAACGGAACTAAATCTCCTGCTGCACACACAGCAAAGATATTGACAAATGCTATTTTGAACAACAACAACCAGGTATTCACAAAACGTTCGTCCATTCTAATATTTCCAAAGGAGTAGTCATGTTACTCCAAACACAACATAAGCGTATTGTAGGCACCAAGCATTCCTATGCCAAATAGCAATGGACATAAACTCACACAGAACAGCAGGCCTTTAATGGAGGCAAGCACCCAGAAATTATGAGTGATAGCTTCTCCCTCTACTATGCCCACTGCAAATCCAGCCCTTAATCTAACCAGGGGAACTGCCATTTGGATAAGTCTACAAAAAAAGGGGGGGTACAGGCTGGGTTGCGCTATGTCAGGAGAGGGGAAGAACCCCAAAGCAGGAACAAAATATTTACTAAAAAAAAAATATTCAAGCCGACACAGATGTTATTAATAGTTGTAATTTCATTACAATTAAATGCAAATCGACATTACATATTTATATCAGTTTTATGTCACTTTAATGGTAGTGATCTCCTGCAAAGAATGCTGAGGGTTGTAGTTTGGCAAGGTGCTGAACATTTTCTGTTAGCAATCCCTACATTTGCCTCAGATTCTTTTGGGAGACAATACCAGGGTTAAATTCAGTGTATGGCGCAGAGCTTAATGACAAGCCCTCTGGCTAAGATTTAGAGACCTTCCTAGGCATTACTTTCTCTCTGTAAAGAAAGTATTCTGCCGCAAAAGTGTCTTCTGGGTCAAACCTGGTTGTTACTCCTTTTTTTTAAATAAACCTATCATTTTCTTCGTATGGAAACACAAAGGATTACTGGTGCTACCCCCCTCCTTTTTATTCAGCTGTCTGCAATTGCATCTGCTCAGCATCACCAAAACTGTCACTGTCTTCTCAGTCTAAACCACTGAGCCTCTTGGCTTGCTTATCAGAATGTCAGCGGTTCGAATCCCCGTGACGGGGTGAGCTCCTGTTGCTCAGTCCCTGCTCCTGCCAATCTAGCAGTTCGAAAGCCTGTCAAAGTGCAAGTAGATAAATAGGTACCGCTCCGGCGGGAAGGTAAATGGCATTTCCGTGCACTGTTCTGGTTTGCCAGAAGTGGCTTAGTCATGCTGGCCACATGACCTGGAAAAACTGTCTGCAGACAAACGCCAGCTCCCTCGGCCAGTAAAGCGAGATGAGCGCTTCAACCCCAGAGTCATTCGCGACATGGACTTCTGTCAGGGGTCCTTTACCTTTACCTTTAAGTGCTTTAAAAGGACAATCTCAGGTCGCCTCCAGGCTGTCAATGTTTTGCAGGAGGGATTCAATTGCATACCAGAAAATTTAGGTTGCGCAATTAAAGTGGATTCAAGTGCTCTGGCACAACACATCCCCTTTTTTTAGAAAGTGCATTTTGTGGTTAAGAAAGTAGCAAGGGAGTGCATTAAAAAGTGTGGGGTAGCAGGAATTTGATGGAAATGCATATTCCTCAAAAAAAAAAATCAAAAAATCAGAATGAATACTCACTGTCATATAACCTCCCCACAAACAAATAAGAACGTATGCTCAACGTGTCCAGAGGAGGGCAACCAAAATGGTCAAAGGCCTGGAAACGATGCCTTATGAGGAACGGCTAAGGGAGCTGGGCATGTTTAGCCTGGAGAAGAGGGGGTTAAGGGGTGATATGATAGCCATGTTCAAATATATAAAAGGATGTCACATAGAGGAGGGAGAAAGGCTGTTTTCTGCTGCTCCAGAGAAGCGGACACGGAGCAATGGATCCAAACTACAAGAAAGAAGATTCCACCTAAACATTAGGAAGAACTTCCTGACAGTAAGAGCTGTTCGACAGTGGAATTTGCTGCCAAGGAGTGTGGTGGAGTCTCCTTCTTTGGAGGTCTTTAAGCAGAGGCTTGACAACCATATGTCAGGAGTGCTCTGATGGTGTTTCCTGCTTGGCAGGGGGTTGGACTCGATGGCCCTTGTGGTCTCTTCCAACTCTATGATTCTATTCTATGATTCAATAAATAGCAGACATCGTATAACCTCTGTGTAAACATTGTGCAGGTAAATCAAGCTGAATACCCTGCAAACAGATAATCTGGAGAAGCCCTAAATCTCTTATGATTACAACCGTTGTGCACATGGTTTTAGTCAGAGTAGACCCATTGAAATAAGTTCACCTAAGCAAGTAAAACTTAGTTGAATGCCACCCATTCTTGCCAATCCACATTAACTCCGTAAAGCCATGGGAGAAAACCCAGGGTTCTTGTAGGTGTGTCTGGGCATTCAGTACCGCCAGATGTCTCAACACTATGATATGAGCAAAACACTTCCACAAATCACTGAATGAAACCAGTTAAGGAAATTCTAACACAAACCCTTTCCCATTCAGGACTACAGAATATGATACAAGTTTTGACACAACCAGCACTATTCTTAAAAACTGCTTTGTTTCTCACAGATAAATCCGTCCTAGAACCATGGGCCTCAGGAGGACAGAAGTCAGCCTTGGCATAGTTTGAAACTCGGTGCCTCAATTGTCCCACCCTGTAAAACTCCACTAATGTATGGATGGATAGGGGCTTTCTGTTTAAAGCACTTAGCTAAGGTGGAAGGTAATTCGACAGATTAATAGAGAACTGCTATATAAATAAGTCACTATAGGTAACCGGAACATCCATTTTGGAGGCAGTTCTTGGGGAGGGGGGAATGTGTGAAGATAGTTTCCCCCATCCTCTGCTTGTGGGTTTCCTGGAGGCCTTTGGATGTAGCAGGATGCTGGACCCACATGACCCCACAGGGCTCTATTATGGGTTGCAATGAGAGTCAGTTCAACACTGAAGTGAGGGACATAATAGGGCCATCTGACCAGTAGCGCTTTGACGGAAACAGGAAAGAATGCAGCAATATATAGATATATAGGCACCGTTTTAACTGATCCCTCCCTTTGAGAGTTGCACCCTTGCCTCAATCTGGGCACTCTCCTTCACAAAAGACATGGGTATCACTTAGGTGTGGGAATCAGAAGCTGCATACAGAGGATAACTTGCAGCAAGATCACATGTCTGCAGTGTGAAGCCATGAGCCAAATTGTGACTCCTGTTTATTCTCAGGTTGCCCTTAATAGGAAAGGGCAGCATTCATTCACCAGCGCTCACTCAAACCGTGGGGTGGGGTGCTGTTATCCCCCACCCACTCAGTTTCAGTGAGAGAGATCCAGAGAGTTTTGCCCCATTGTCCTAGAGAAGATTTGCTGAGGTGTTGTTGGGTGGGCACCTGTCTATCTGTAACTGCCAAGTTGGTCCTTACTGGGGGGCGGGGTACTCCAGCCATGACGAGAAACCTTTTCCTTCCCTCTAAAGCGAGATGCGCCGCGTTCAACCGGGAGCGCGAAGAGGCCCGCAGGATGCCGGCACAGGCCATCCCCCATCGCACTCCTGGTCTGCAACTGGCAGACCAAGCTGTGCCCCGAGTCTAAGTCTGCAATCCCGTGTCTCCTGGCAGCCCGAGCCTATTCATATCCAAGTCCTCCCGCTGCTTTGGCCCGCCAAGTCTCCTAGGACTGCAGCCTGGAGAGGAAACGCGAGCGCTCCGGGCGCACAGGTCCCGGTGGGTCTGGGCGCTTGGACCCCACGGGCCGCCCGGGTTTCCTCGACTGCAGCCCCGCGCCTTCGCTGCGCTTCGCTCGTGGGAACAGGCTCCGAAGCGCCTTCTGGCTCCGACGCGCCTTCCGCTCGCGGGTCTTGGGTTAAAGGCGAGCGCGGGGCCCCGCTGCCCGCCCCGACGGCGCGCACTTACTTCTCGTAGTCGAGGCGGCAGTAGAGCTTCTGGTCGCGGAAGAAGCAGGTGCCTCGCAGGGGATCCTGGCAGGCGGCGCAGCGCACGCAGCGCTCGTGCCACAGGCGCTCGTTGAGGCGCAGCAGGAACCTCTCCGCGATGATGCCGCCGCAGCCCTCGCACACCGAGCGCGCCCGCGCCGGGGCTCCCCCTGCAACGAACGCGAGGGCCGTGAGGAGCCGTCCCGGGATCGCCCCATCCCCTCAAGCCTCGCCATCCAAGGCGCACCTCAGCCCGACGGCCAGGGAGGCCCCCTGCTCCCGCTGCCGTCCCCTCGGGGCAAGCACCATTTCCTTGCCCCCGATGCAAGGGAGCTGAAAAGTGGCGCCCGCCCCTCCGCCGCCGCTTTCCCTGCGCGCTGCGGACTGGAGAACAAGGCGCGTGGCTCTCTTGGCGCGGGGCGCCTGCGGAAGGACGCTTAGGCAGGCTCCGCGCGAACGAACTACTCCAGCCTGCGGAAGGGACAGCCCTTGGCAGCCGCCATTCGGGGACTCAAACCCGTTTTCTCCGACGGGGCGGAGGTGCTTGCGGTTCCTTGGACGCGCCAGGACGCGCCTCCTCCCCACCTCCCGTGCGCCCCGGCCTTAGTTCCATGGAGCCCGGACAGAACTCACGGCTAAGAACGTGCGTTAGGATCGGGCTGCGGCTCGAAAGTAAACACCGGCCTGAGGCCAGTCGGAGAAAACAAGGCTATGGCCTTGAGGTGGGAATCTGCGCAGCCCCAAATGGACTTGCGACCGGGCGCCTTTGCACGCCGATCCTTCTCAACCCACAAGTTTTATCTCGTTTCCTTACATCTCCCAAACCCCGCGTCCCTTGCAAACCCCGACGGGGATTTCTCTCTCCCTAAAGATGTCCGTTTTCAGGAAGGGGCGAGCCTATCTTTAATGTCCTTTCAAAACGAAGGCGCGGGATCCTGAGCCGCTGTCGAAACGCTCTTTAGTTTAGATGCAGAGCATCCCGCCCGCCATCGAGGCGTTATGAAAAGAAAGTTTATTTTTTAGAAAAATGCAGCTGGATTTTAGACAAAAAAACGGGGCTCTGAGGTTTTCTTTTTTGTTTGTTTGGTTTTCTTTTTTCTAAGGCTGTGACTAATAAAATCCTATTGCACTTGAAGAAAGGAGGCTGAGCGAATGTTTGCCGCCCTCGGGCCAAAGCGAAGCGAAAACGAAAAAGGCCTCGAATTCTAAACGAAACATTCTTTTAAAATAAGGTGTCTTATTCATATCTACTTCTCTTTCGAATTACAATGTGAAATACACTTCTGAGACTCGGTCATTTGGTGACTTGAACAAACGATTCAAAGGCGCGCATCTCCCCGAAGTCCCCTTCCGCCCCTTCCAGGATGGAAAATATTGGGCACCTGGGGCTGTATATTTGGAAGGGCAAAGACAGAACCAAGATTTTGCTCCCTGGAAGGGGCGAAATATTTCAAAATTTATCCATTTTCTTAGTTACGGAATCGATCTTTCCTGCCTAGAATTTGCGGTCCTGTTATATTACCATTTAGAGATGATTCGTCGAGACAAAAGTTGCCTTTTGTCCTCGGGTGGGACAACCGCATCCCGGGACAATCCCGTGCCACCTGTGGTCGCGGTGTTCTCCATCTGCCCACTGCGCGACCCTGGAAACTTGAAACGCGCAACGTCCAGGACAAAGAGGCTTTCATTGCGCGGCGCTGCCGAGTGAGCCGACGGAGAAGATGCGCCGACGACGACGGCAGAGGAACAACTGCCGTGCAGGAGGAGGAAAGAAGTTCTCCGCTATTCCCTTCCAAGAAACGTTATTAGCCCTGGCGTGATGATTATCCGCACCAGCTCCATGCAGCGTGTACAGAACAAGATTTCTGTACTAGTTATTAACCTCATAGATCTCTCTGTGTTAGTGGGCTTGGGTAAGTAAACTAATAAAGACATAGATATTGCTATTTGGGCAGGTTCTTTCTTAAATTCTGTGGGTGATGGTGAAGATTGCAAGGGGTCCCTTCTCTCTCTCCTTCCTCGCCAAGGCACTTGGGACGCTTATTTTCTTCCCACTACGGAGAAAACCGCTCCCCCCGCCCTCTTTTCCTCCCACCAAAGACGCACCCCGGAGCTGGTCGTTTGAACCCCGCCGGGCTGGCGAGACTGCAGGCGCCGCCTGTCCTCCGTTTCTTCCTTCGGGATCGGGATAAAACGAGCAGCTCCCGCGGGACAGAAAGGCAGGCGGAGCAACTCCGGCGCCCGAAGGGATCCGGCACGGAAGCAGGGCTCGCTTTGGGAAGGGGCTGCCTCGGCGGCGGCGCGCGGGGAACTTTGGCACTCACCCAGCACGGAGGAGAGGGAGGTCGGCTGCGGCGGAGGCGGCTCGAGCGCGTCGTGCAGAGTCTCCTCCATTTTCCGGCCGTCCAACATGGCCCACAGAGGCAGGGTGGGCAGGGTGGGCAGGTGCGCCCGCGACTCCGCTTTAAAAAGGGCCGGAGGGGGGAAAGTCAGGGCCAGGGCGCTTGGGATCTCCCCCTCCACGCCTCCCGGCAAGCTGGGCCTGCAGCTCCCTCCCGCCGCGCGCAGCTTCTTCCCTCTAGCGGTTGCTGGACGCCCCGAAGGCGCCCGCGGGAACTGGCAGACCCCGCAGCCCGGCAAGCCGCGGAGAGTGGCCGGGTTCCGGGTGCCTCCTGGCTTAGCGGGCCTCCCGCCTTCTCCGTGCGCGGGGGGCGCACGCGGCAGAAAGCGCTTACCTGGCTGCTGCAGCGGGCCGAGGCTGCCGTCGGAGCCCGGGTTGGGAAGCCCCCTGCGCCCAGCCTTCACAAGGGCGCCACGTCCTTCGCTGCGCTCCGAGGCGGGAGGTGGGCGCCGCCGGCAAGGGGCGGCGGGCGGCCCCCAGCGGCCCGGAGCTCGGCCCGAGGTAGCCGCGGTGCCATCCCCGGCTTGCGGAAGCCGGGCCAGGCGCGCGGGTCTCCTGCAGGTGGGCTCGGCTCGGACTGGGCTCTGCCCCCTCCCCGCTGGGCGAGCCCCGCAGTCGGAGGACGGAGGTTTCCTCCCCCCGGTGCGAGGCGCATCCCTGCCCCCCCCCACCTCACCTCAAGCCGGCAAACCCGGCGCTGGAGCAGGACAGGAGCCCGTGCCGCTTGGAGGAGACGCGTTCACACGTCAGGGCGGGGAGGGGTTGTCCTTAGCCGGCCAAAAAGATCGACAGAGGCGCCCAAGTTGAGATGAGGGAGTGACGGAGGGAGGAGGGCAAGGGCGATCTGCAACTTGCAGAAGCCGAAGTATTTCAACAGGGTTAGCGCTATATTTGCTTTGTTGTTACTGCTGTTGCTGCCGCTCCTGGGACGATTCTCATCCGTTCTTCCCTCTAGATCCGGAGACGCGACCTGGTGGGGCGGCGCTGAGCCGTCGGGGAAGGCAAGAGTTCTTCGCTGCGCGAGGCGCTTTACTCCCGAGGCACCTTTACTCAGGGGTAAATGCCGCTAATTTCAGGATGCATCGAATGGGAGCCTTAGCTTCGCTGTGACTGTGACCCACAGCCCAGTTAAGGCTACATTCGCTTCGACCCCTATCCACGTGCGAAGGAACCGGTATGCGAAGACCTCTGCACCAGGGATTCCTGCTTTTGGGGAGACCCAGCCCTAGGCACCCTAATATACGCATTTCGCAGGAACCGGGGGTGCTCAGAATCCGGCCTTCCCTCCCAAAGCAAGCAAAACACCCCCCCCCCCACACACACACATAAAGACAAAGAAAGCAGGCAACGTCCGCAGCCCACCGAAAAATCAAGAAACTCCGCCTCAAACCAACCGCGGAAAAAAGTTTAACACCCCTATATCTTTTTACAGATAAAACGGGGCTTTGGCAAGCACCAAGGGTGCCCGAAGTTGGTATGATGCCCGTAGACGCCACCATGGGCGTAGCCAGGAGTTTTGTTGTGGGGGGGGCAGCCAAAGTGGTTGAACTTTTTCCCCTTTTTTATCTCTTTTAAATCAAAGTTGTTGGGCAGTTGCTGTAGGAACGTCGACGCCACCGGGTTTCGCGTCAGTCCAGGAACTCACGCAAGCCTTTATGAGGGCTCATGCATACGACCAAGTTGTACCTTGAGGTGCAGTCACGTGTGGATGCGCGCGCCAGGCGCTTTCATGTTGATTCAGAAGGAAGTCCCATTCATTCCCATGGGGCTTCCTTCGTTCCAAGGAAGAGAAGGGAATCTAGGTGCGCTCTTGGAAACGCCAAACACCTCAACAAAAAGATGCGAATAATAGTGCATGACCATGATGATTGCGTGATAAAAGCATTCTGTTTTTGTTTTTGTTTATTTCTTGCATTTATATCCTGTCTTCTCCGCACAGGGAGCATGGGCGTAGCCAAGGGGGCAGCTGCCCTCCAAAGTCCATCAAAATAAATACAAATCAATACAAATCTGAGGTTCTGCCGCCCCAACAAAAGCCTGCCCCCTTCACAAAAACTCTGGCTACGCCCATGACCAAGGTGGCAGGCACGGTTCTCCCCCTCTTCATTTAATCCCCACAACTAACTTGTGAGGTAGGTAAAGGTAAAGGACCCCTGACAGTTAAGTCCAGTCGCGAAGGACTCTGGGGTTGCGATGCTCATCTCGCTTTACTGGCCGAGGGAGCCGATTTTTGTCCGCAGTTTTTCCGGGTCATGTGGCCAGCAGTGAGGTAGGTTAGGCTGCGGCATTGAGTGGCCCAAGGTCAGCGAGGATTCCAACCGTGGCCTCCCAGGTCCTAATCCCACACTTTAAATACTGCACCTCCACTGCCATCGCAGCTTGCCACGATAAGGGACTGAGACTTGAAATGCATTGCTTTTCCAGCTCCCATCCTCTCTCCTGCTCCATCATTTCCCGCTTTGATTGTTCTTGACCAACAATCTCACAGGAGCCAACTCCTAGGGGACGAGGTCACTTCGGCCCTCGCAATAAAAGCCATTCCAGTGGTGCGCGTGGGCCAGCTCTTGTGTTCCATAACGCGAGGCGGGGCTTACCTGCCCTCACCCAATATTTTGTTCAAGCTGGCGCCCCTGAACAATATACAGTAGACGCTTACTCAGAAGTAAGTTCCCACTGGTTGCAATGGGGTGTTTTCCCCTGTGAAGTGTGCAGAGCAATAGACTCCAACGCGCTCTGATGAGGGCGTTTTAACAGCAGGTTTGGACCACTATACGCAGGGATGTGTGCCGGAGCGAAGTTGGGACTCTCGTGTGGCCTTGGAGCAGGGACGGCCACGCTGGCTGGCGCTTGGAGTCCAGCACGGGGGGGGGGGGGCACCGCACACTGTCTACCTCTGGCCTCGCCTTTGCGTTATAGCTGATTCCACGGAAGGGGAAGGGGAAGGCAGGGGAGTTGAGAAGAGCTCTCCAGGAAGAATGGCGCGATGGCGCGAGAGACCTCAGGAAACTTTGCTCCTCTCCTTCTCTTGGATATTGCGCGCAAAACCTCCAAGGGAGTCAGTCCTCGCTCTTTCCTGCTCTGCTTCCACATCCTGCCATCTCCAGGGCGCGAGGCGGTATACCAACTGGCAAAAGTAATTTAAAGAGCAGAGTTCTGTTATCGGCCGCCCGTGGGTATGCAGCCAGTCCCCGCGCCGCCTTAGTGGCGTGGCGCGTAGACCGCAACCAAGCCACGCCGTTTACGCAGCAGAGCGGCGCAGCTCTAGGGAAAGCGACGCCTCCCCTTTGCGTCAAGCATCCACAAAGCATTGTTGCAACGGGGAGGCGGGCGGCGGGGGGGGGAGAGATTCTGGGGAAACGTGGGAACTGAGAAGCAGAGCAGCGCTTGACGCGCAGAGAGTTCGGGCTCTGGCAACCCCAGCTGAAGGCATGTCAGGCAGCAAGTCTAGGGTAGCTCCAAGGGAGCCTCTGCCACGCCAGGCGACACCGGGGAGATTGGACCAAGGCGCAAGGTGGCTTCAGGGGTAGCTTTTAGAGCTTTTGAGAAGGAAGAGGCGCTCCAGCCGCTGCTTGGGCTGGGCTGCCCCTCCTCAACATCCCGAGGAATGTCCGCAATTCGCTTGCTGACTCATCAGAGGAGTCTTTGGGTGCCTCCATGTGGGCAATGATGGAACTTGGGAAAGGAAGAACCGGCTCCGGGCAATTGCGCCACCACCAGCAGCAGGTGGAGCTACTTTTCAACAAGTGGTAAAGGTAAAGGGACCCCTGACCATTAGGTCCAGTCGTGGTCGACTCTGGGGTTGCGGCGCTCATCTCGCTTTATTGGCCGAGGGAGCCGGCGTACAGCTTCCGGGTCACGGGGCCAGCATGACTAAGCCGCTTCTGGCGAACCAGAGCAGCGCACAGAAACGCCCTTTACCTTCCAGCCGGCGCGGTACCTACTTATCTACTTGCACTTTGACGTGCTTTCGAAACTGCTAGGTTGGCAGGAGCATGGGACCGAGCAACGGGAACTCACCCCGTCATGGGGATTCGAACCGCCGAACTTCTGATCGGCAAGCCCTAGGCTCTGTGGTTTAACCCACAGCGCCACCCACATCCCATTCAACAAGTGGACATTTACTGAAAAGGGTCAAGGTAAAACAACAACATACAGATATTTAAAGAAAGCAAACAATGGGGTGGAATGCATATAATTGGGTAGTCATCAAAAGACACATTTCTATATTGCAAAGCAACAGTTTCCTTTTTCTCTCCTCAGCTGTTTCTAGACTGGAAAAGAAGGGGAAGCCAGACTTTGAGAAAGTTGCCTGAACCTGAGAAGGACCGGCTTGGCTGCCTCTTAGTGCAAAAAAAAACATCTTGAAGGTCCCAGGCCACAGAGAAGTTAGGCTGGCCTCAACTAGAGCCAGGGCTTTTTCGGCTGTGGCTCCGATCTGGTGGAACACTCTGTCACAAGAGACCAGGGCCCTGCGGGACTTGACATCTTTCCGCAGGGCCTGCAAGACAGAGCTGTTCCACCAGGCCTTTGGCCAGGGCACAGCCTGACTCCCTCCCTCGGCAATCTTCGCGGAGCTCTGGCCCAATGGTTGCCAGAGGCTTGATTTAATTAATTTTAGAATGAATGATTTTAGAATGTTGTTTATGCTGTACTTTTGTATTGTTTTATTGTTGTTAGCCGCCCTGAGCCCGGCTTCGGCTGGGGAGGGCGGGATATAAATAAAATTTATTATTATTATTATTATTATTATTATTATTATTAGGGAAGACCCAAGTCATCATCAGCCTGAGTTTCCACAGCCCCCACCAAGCACGAACCACCATTGGCAGCAAGAGCAGCAGATATGTTCTGTGCCCAAGATAACATTTCATTTTCTTGCTAATGATGCTGTTTTAAATGTACATTTTATATTTGACTTCCTTTGGTGAAATGTTTCATTTTGAAGTGTTTGAGATACTTTAAAATTCACTTTGCTGCATTAAATGTTCATTCTGCAGTTGGCCTTGGTAATGTTTTGTTTTGAAATCTTTAAGATAATATTTTAGTTTCTTGCTAATTGTACTGCTTTGAATTGAATTGTACTTTATATCTGACTTTCTTCTTGTAACGTTTTATGTTGGATTGTTTTATTTCGTGTTTTCATGTAGGTTGCAAACCAATTTGAGATTTCTTTCTTAAAAATGTAAAGCAGTATAGAACTGAAATGAGTAATAATAATAATAATAATAATAATAATAATAATAATAATAATAATAATGGAGTTTGGCCATGTTGTTGTTGTTTAGTCGTTTAGTCGTGTCCGACTCTTCGTGACCCCATGGACCAGAGCATGCCAGGCACTCCTGTCTTCCACTGCCTCCCGCAGTTTGGTCAAACTCATGCTGGTAGCTTCGAGAACACTGTCCAACCATCTCATCCTCTGTCGTCCCCTTCTCCTTGTGCCCTCCATCTTTCCCAACATCAGGGTCTTTTCCAGGGAGTCTTCTCTTCTCATGAGGTAGCCAAAGTATTGGAGCTTCAGCTTCACGATCTGTCCTTCCAGTGAGCACTCAGGGCTGATTTCCTTCAGAATGGAGGAGTTTGGCCATAGTTATAATTTTTCAAACTTTACCAATTCAGTCCCTGTAAGAGGGTGTAACCAAGGTCTACAGTCTGCTTGACCATACAGTTTTGGCTGGGCGAAATACTGCAAAACTTTTTGAGAATATGGCTGTGAACACAAGACATTTTGTTCTAGAATCCATGGAGACTGGGCACTTCCGCCCCCCTACATGGTTCTCACACATTTTAGATTTATTGTATATTTTTTGCTCCTGAACAGCAGGAAACTGGTTTCATTCCAAAAACAAAAGCTCACTGCAGTGTGTCCATGGATGACCTAATCAAGGGGAAGGTCTAGACTCAATCTAGATGGACACAAACATTTCTTTATTGAGAAAAACTACATGTTAGTGTGTACACAGCCTACAG